ATTAGAGTGATGAATAGGAGATTGATAGAGAAGAGAGTGATAGTAAGGAGAGTGATAGAAATTAGAGTAATAGGAAGGAGAGTGATAGGGAGGAGAGTGATAGAGAGTAGTGATACAAAAGAGAGTGATAGAGAGGAGAGTGATAGGGAGGAGAGTGAGAGAGAAGTGATAGGGAGGAGAGTTATAGGGAGGAAAGTGAGAGAGGAGTGATGGAAAGGAGAGTGATAAAGAGGAGAGTGATAGAGAGGAGGGAAAGAGTGGAGAGTAATAGAGAGGAGAGTGATAAAGAAGAGAGTGAAACAGAGGAAAGAGAGAGAGAGAGAGGAGAAAGATAGAGAGAAGAGTGATAGAAAGGAGAGTGAAAGAGAAGAGAGAGAGAGGGGTGAGTGGTAGAGAAGAAAGGATAACAAGACATATTAACAAGAGAGATTGACAAACGTAACAATTGGTATAACTAAAAACTCATTGACTTTGAAAACTAAAGTTTATTAATAAATTTATATACATACACATATATGAGAACTGACACACACTAAAACACACCCTATTTGAAAATACACATATACTTCAACATAAACCTGGAAAGTTAAAACATTCGAAGTCTTGCACATACATATAGAAATGCTTTCTGAAGCACACAAATATTCATGCTTTTTTAAATTGAACTAAATTGTTGCGACCTAAAGACTAGAGGCTCAATCTGTTGCGACCTAAAGACTAGAGGCTCAATCTGTTGCAACCTAAAGACTAGAGGCTCAATCTGTTGCGACCTAAAGACTAGAGGCTCAATCTGTTGCGACCTAAAGACTAGAGGCTCAATCTGTTGCGACCTAAAGACTAGAGGCTCAATCTGTTGCGACCTAAAGACTAGAGGCTCAATCTGTTGCGACATAAAGACTAGAGGCTCAATCTGTTGCGACCTAAAGACTAGAGGCTCAATCTGTTGCGACCTAAAGACTAGAGGCTCAATCTGTTGCTATAGAAAACAGCGTTGAAAAGAGCAACACATTAATTCTGGCGGAGGAAAAAAATGCAAGAACATAGGGCCTACAACTTTACTTTCATTCACTAAGGAAGTATTCATAGATTTGTGGTCAAACAGAACATAGAGACAAAAACAATGTCTCAGTCTGAACTTTTCCATTGTGTGCAAACTACGTAGAAGTAACAGCTTCACAGTCCCATTGTAATCATTACTGCTGGTTGCGGCGGAATCACATCTTTCAACACTCAAATGTGTTTATCATGCCGGCTGCCGGTCTAGCACATAGGGATCTGCATGCAAACTGCTACCGCCCGAAGCCTCGTATAAAACGGTATAAGTAAAAGAGAGCTTAAGGCTTCTCTTATTGCGAGCTTTGTTCTGTCATTTGGAGGAGAGGCTTCTCTTATAGCGAGCTTTGTTCTGTCATTTGGAGGAGGGGCTTCTCTTTTAGCGAGCTTTGTTCTGTCATTTGGAGGAGGGGCTTCTTTTTTAGCGAGCTTTGGTCTGTCATTTAGAGGAGGGGCTTCTCTTTTAGCGAGCTTTGTTCTGTCATTTGGAGGAGGGGCTTCTCTTTTAGCGAGCTTTGTTCTGTCATTTTGGAGGAGGGGCTTCTCTTTTAGCGAGCTTTGGTCTGTCATTTGGAGGAGGGGCTTCTCATATAAGATGAAGGCAAAAGAGACCTAGTCACTGGCTCACTTAGATAAGACTTTGCCACAGCCATCTCTCCAAAATTATGTTTTTACTTTTCCAAACCCATCAGATGCATTTTAATTATAACGTATGCTCAACATCTCCATGAAAGCTGCATATCTGCAGCTCAGATAGTAGGAAAGTGCTTGGCGGTCCCGAGGTTTTAAATATGGAGCTTCCATAGTCCGCGGCTGGTCAAGTTACAATTTTATAATAGGCCAAACGAGAGGAGCTTACGATCTATGAGTCAGGTGATGTAAAGATCATCTGTGTTTGTAGCTAGCACACCGACCAACCGTCTTTACTTTTCCCTATCAAATGTCAGCTGTCCATTAGAGTTGGGTGGACTCAGGGGTACCCTTAAATCCCGAAAGTCAGTAGCCATTGGGTAATTATTGCAATAATTCCTTTATACCCCATGCCAGAAGTATATAAGCTTCACTGGGTAGTGTCACGTTACAGATATAGAGCCTAGATCTAAATGTTTTAGTACGAAAGATTTGCAGATGTCAAAGTCGTAAAATGTTTCTCTATTTTCATGGAAAGTTTCTTTCGTTTATCTTGTAACTCGAACTGTCCATCTGGGTTTTTTTTAATTAATTTTTTAATTATTTTGGGGGGGGGGGGGGGGGTCCTTCATTTTCTCTTGTATATTTATAATTATCTGGAATATTATGACAAAAATATTTTGAAAACTACTACTTTTGTATTTTGACAGATGCCAGAGAAGGCCGTGGTCAGTTGAGGTCACTGAAGAGACGACCTCGAAGTATTGAACGACAAGGACCTTCAATTCGGGATGTCAGGCGGGTAAGAAACTTTTTCAACCAAATTGCCCCACGATAGTCTGTCAAATAGTTTTATTCGACTCATTTGTTTAATATAGACGTTTTTGCTTGTGTTTTATTTTTCTCTTAAATTAAACATTCTTAGACTCATGTACTTCAACGAGAGTTATTTGTTCTTGGCTATTTCTTTGTTAATTATTAATTCATTTTAAAGCTGCTGTCGTATCGCACAAGAACTAATATGATACTTAATTACTGAGCGTTTCCCTTTTTAAATCTATTTTCAAATAGTAATTAAACACGAGTTGGTGCATATTGCATGTCCTTTTCCAGACACATATTGATATGGAGTGTCCTCTACTAGACACATGTTGATAACACATGTCCTCTTCCGGAATCATGTTGATAGAGCATTTTCTCTTCCAGGCACATGTTGATATGACATGTCCTCTTCTAGACACAATTTTGTTACTTTTCCTTTGACTTGTGTGAATTTTACTGGATCGTACTCGACTAGTATAATTACACTTTAAACATGCCATATCGAGTTTTCATGAGAATGAAACCATTTTTATAGCAAGCAAGGAAAATATAAAAAATACTTTTTAAAAATTCAAAGCTTATACTTCGTGGAATTGTATCAGTTAGTTTGGATCAGTCTTTTAATTAAATTTGTTATAGATCTTGATTAACAATATGTGTAGTTAGAAATATCTTTACCTATTTTTGTTTTGCACAATTTCATACTTTAGCTTTCTCAGTGCGCTATGATTCTGTCACTTGTCTCAAACATTTGGGAAAGGGGAGGAGAGAGGATCTAGGACTGAGTGAATGTTACCGTGATCACTTTTTAAATGTATTTTATCTTTTAAAAAGTTGTACGACTTGTATTCAAATTCGAAGGCTCAAGCCTCACGGTTTCCTAATTATCTATCATTAGTTTCAATGACGTATACGAAATAACTCTGCAAAAGATTAACTTGATTTGAAATTGGGTGTGGGAGAAATAACGAGGACACACTTTTAACCAGGCAGCAGCGATTTGATTCTAAGTTTTGTACACATCACCTATTGTTTCAAGTGTTCACAATTTACATTCACACAAGGCCTAAAATAGAAAAAAATCAAATCGGGCTATTCGGAGGCCGTCTAAATCTCACAAGCTGTTTGTTTGACTTGAAAATATAGACAGACTTGGCTGTATAGGCTATGTCTACAATCTACAGTTACACATTTCATTTCTATATTTACGTCAACAAACAATAAAACACACACGCAAAGCGTTGACGTCACAAAATGAAATTGAGTTTTAGGACTATTACGGTTTTGAGAATGTAAAGGAAATATCGTATATCTAACATCCAGATCACTTACATAGACATCATTTTACTTTAGCCTAGCGGTTCTCAACCTTTTATGCTCGGCGACTCCTTTTTACGACCCCACACTCTTCCGCGACCCCCCCCCCCCACACACACATGCCAATAGAAGAATAGACAATAAAAGTCCATATTTTCGATGGTCTCAGGCGACCCCTGGCAAATCGTCAATCGACCCCCAAGTGGGTCGCGACCCACAGGTTGAGAACCCCTGCTTAGCTGATCTTACGCTACTTAACCTAAAGTCTCTAATCCACACAAAGGTTAAATGACTGATTGTATCACTAGATCAAGCTTGAGGGCATTGATAGGTCGTGCAATATGAGACGTTTACACTCTCCCTCTCTCTCTCTCTCTTTCTCTCTCATCTCTCACTCTCTCTCTCTCTCTATCTCTCTCTCGCTATCTCTCTATCTCTCTCTCTCTCAATATTTCTCTCTGTCACTCTCTCTCTCATTCTCTCTCTCTCTCTCTTTGTACTGGTATCTATGAAATAGATCGCAGTTGATATTTTTGCTCTTAGTCTCCCATTTACTCATTTTGAACTTCACTGGGAGTTTTCTTTTTTGTCACTTACTATTTCTTCCTTTTTTTCTGTCCTTTTCACTCTATTTTGCTTTCCCTCTTTTTCCTGTTTCTTTCTTCTCTCTTTTTTTCCACTCTCTCCCTCTCTCCGACGAATGCCTGAGATGATATCATTATATGGTAATCAAGGGTTCTACTTACAAATGAATAGTTATATCTCTAGATACTTCTCCAGAGTTTCTGTTTACAACTGACTAATGTCACTGGGTTAAGCTCGAGTAGTTCAGTTGTGTACGTGTTCCTATCATCCTCCAGGTACAAGGTGAACTTTACTTGGGTAACAATCCACTCCTGCAGCCTCCCATCACTGAGAACCTAGCTGTTCGCAAACCTCCTCTGCCAGACAAAACCAGGAGCCGCCTATTCAAACCAACTCTATGGAAGCGTCTCCCACCTCTGAACACAAGCCTGGCCCATGCTCAAGCAGACATGAAACTAGAAGGTAGCGCCTTGGACAATTCTTCAGCTGAACTCTCAGACATGCATGAGGATTAAACGAATGTCAGATAGCTAGATCTATTATGCTTAACGTCAGATAGCTAGATCTATTATGCTTAACGTCATATAGCTAGATCTATAATGCTTAACGTCAGATAGATATTATGCTTGCAGTGAATCTTAATGTAGAAATAGCTCGGGGGTATAATATTTATTCTGTCAAGCTTGCAATGTTCTTTTTTTTTTAACAATAGAAACCTTTTCTTTTCAATAGAAGCTATTGCTGACATGGCATAAATAATGAGGTTAAATTGTTTCACCAAGTTATGAAATGCTTAAGTCAAACATTTTAGTTCTGTCAAGGTCAGTGGAATCTCATTCTCGTTCAAATGTAATTCTTCATACGTGAAGTCTGTTATTTCAATTAGAACCCTAACAAACGACATCTCTTTGTTGTTGTTTTTTTCTTTAATTTGTCAAGAGTGTGTGTGTGTAGGAGAAAATGTATTGGTGTGTATATGTGCGGTAATTATTTAGTATTCATGTTTATTTTAATGTAAATTTCATTGTTATGAAGACAATATTACGCCATTAAAATGTTTCGCATCTCAGATTCGGTCTTCTTTATTATCAAATTCATTACATAACTAGCATACTTTAAAACTTTTACTTTTGTGCAGTTGGGAAACAATTTTTTTTAACGCTTTTACTTTGCGAAATGTTTTTATAAGAGCTCTTATAAAGTTAGAATTCTTTAGACGTAGATTGGCAATACATGTGTAAGCATTTGAAGTCGTTTAAGATGGCATTCATTATATACAATTAATAAAACCAAGACATTCTGTCCACGTGTACAACACAACATATAGAAACATTTCAGCGCCCCTAATTAACAGAATGCCAAGTTCTTTAATAAAAGTGTTTTTAAAAGACTACGATTTATAATTAAGAAAAAAAAAAAGAAACCCTAAAAATGCTTCACGTTTACGTATGTGTGGAACAAGGGAAATAATCGTGATTTGCTTTCACATGAGGATTTCGTTTAGTATGCAAGTGGGATTTACTGTGATGGAAAACGTAAATGATAAATAAATGAACAAATCTATTTTAATGCTCCCCACACATAATTTTGACACGTTAATTCTAGTATCTTGTTACGTTACATTGGAGATGACCGCCACATACACACATAATTTTGGACAGTGAAATCTAATATCAATTAGAAGAGGTAAGATGTACATATCTGTTCGGTGGTTTCAGAGATTTTGTAATAGATATACACCCACATGCAATCGCCTCCCCCCAGTTGATAGCCTCTGAATCCGCCTTTGTTTGATGACAACCCAAGGGCGAGCTTATACGTTGTTGTTGTTTTGTTGTTGTTGTTTTGTGTATTCGTGACCTCTCTTGGATGTTTCTCCTTGGTCGAGATGTATAAAAATCGAAAGGGCTTAAAATTTAACGTCTAAGGATCACAACTCTAGGACCACACCACACAATGAATGGCTTACGGTCATGTGTATATCTGAAGGAGAATAATAGATCAGTATTTATTTAGTAGCCTGTAATTGATTGCTTATTATCTAATGGGGAAAACGCTTTAAAAGACGAGCTGTTGCCATTGTATGAGTGAAAGAATCACAAAATCAAACTTCAAAGCGGTGTTTTTAATGTCAAAATATGTTCCTTCTCATATCTTTTATCCTAATTTAGTAGTTTCTAACTATTGATTACGACAAGAACCTATAAACTAAACTAGCGACTGATCCAGCCTTCCCAAGATTAGCCCACACAGCGGAATGTCCATGAAGTACAAGGCTCACTAGCATTCAATCCAGAGGTCACTGTGAGCCTTCCTCCGTCTCTGCACTGACAGTCATAAACTAGCGACGGATTGACACAATGTCACAAGGTTTATCTGTTATTAACGGTAATAGCGGTGGTTGAACACCCTGAATAGAACGCTCGCTTCAAACACGCGACGTAAACATTCTTCGCAGACTGTCATTATTTTGTTTTTGATTTCGCCTACTTTATTTATTTTAGACTGGAACTCATACTTCTACTTGCAAGAGTGTATGTAGGATTACTAATGTCTACACATACACAAATGTGGGTCTACACATACACAAATGTATGTCTACACATACACAAATGTGGGTCTACACATACACAAATGTATGTCTACACATACACAAATGTGGGTCTACACATACACAAATGTATGTCTACACATACACAAATGTGGGTCTACACATACACAAATGTATGTCTACACATACACAAATGTGGGTCTACACATACACAAATGTGGGTCTACACATACACAAATGTGGGTCTACACATACACAAATGTAGGCCCCAGGATCGCCGCTCCCTATTGCGCAATGTGTCATTGCAAGCAGAGGCCAAATTTTGGGGGAGGCCAAAATATTATTCAAAAGTTAACTTTTTAAAAATTTAATTAAATATTGTTGCTGTTTTTTTTTTATTTCGTGGCGAATGGTTTCGGTACTAAACTAAAGAATCTTAAATTTATTTGTTCTGTTGTGTTTTTTTTTAGCCTATAGCCTATATTCAATCGAATCAACATCAAATTATTTTGTATCAGTAATGAAAAAGATAACAAATAATTAATAGATTTAAGATCTGATAAAAATTTACATAAAATTATCTTAGGAGCAAGAGAACTGGCTTTTTTAATAGAAGACAAAATGTGCAGCTCTAAACTACATTGACTTGCAGAGAGCACATCGCTTACTATGGAATTTGGGCAATCGGTAACTGATTATTGTGGCAAGGATTTTTTCGCCAATAATAGTAATGTGCTGCCCTTTTTGTCCAGGGATATAATGGAGTCCCAGCATAGATTTCTGTAAACCTTTATGTGATAGCAGCACAAAGACCACCAGAGCAAGACACATTTGTTTTTGATTTTTTGTTGTTGTTTTTTTTTAGTTGTCCTAACCTATTGCTGACGCAGCTTGATCAATAGTAGGAAAGTTACGCAGCTTCGTTTGAACTGTTTCCTGCCGAATTTCAGCAGGAAACTCCAAAGAGAAAATCCTTTCGCCGATAAAAAGAAAATTTTAGTCTCTGTCCACCAATTGAATATATCAGCCTATATGGTTAACAAGATATGGCCGTAGGCAGTTCTTAGAGGCGCCCTAGTCTGGTATGTATGGCCTTAAGCAGAAAGGAGCGACTCAAAGAGCGTGTGTCTCCAGCGTCTGCGTATCTTTGTATCTTTTTAAAAGCTTCAGTCCAGTCACCATAGACAACCGTCTGGCTAAAGCCTTCAAATGAGAGTATGGCGGAATAGGTCTATTCACCTATCAATATATATATAACGCAGTGGTTCTAACTTTTAACCACACTTTTGTATGGCTCTGAGATATGGGCGTTTTTTATTTTGGCATCTAAGACTCCTCGTACTGCATTTTTTTTTGCACGCATGCGGGCACAACCCTCGCGGCAGCCCTGAGTGTCAGCATCTAAACACTATGTGCTCTGTGTGTGGGGTAAATTAAAGGGAATTCTTTAATTATATGTAGCCTATATTTATTTTGTTTCATATCCTTTTCAAATTATTGTTTGCAACATATGCCCGAGACTTAGAATTTATGTATACGAAACACGGCCTTCTTACTGGGGCATGTAAGCAATCTGACAAAGCTTGTAGTTTATCTTTAAAAGTCAAAGTTCCCATGTTCGTTAAATTGACGCGTGTGTTGCATTAGTAAATACTAAAAGAATTATTGAAACATGTGAATATTTAAACCCCATTTAAAATCAAATTTAAAGATAATTTTAGACAAATTCAACTGCAATTTACTTATAATTGAATTTTGTTCCACAATATAGAATATGCTACAAAAATATGGAATGCATTAATTTTTTAAAAAATCAAAATCATTGTTGTGGCGACAACAAGACATTAAAATTTAATGATTAAAAATACTTTCAAGTTATTTTCAACTTGTTCAAATTTTATTACAGATTGCTGACGTCTGGAATGTTTTTGTCACACTACTTTGTTTTAGCTTGTCATCTTGTTCAACTTTGGATGCACTTATTTCATTAACGGCTCATTTCTTCAATTAAGTATCGACATTTCTCGTTAATACTCTTAATTCAGAGTCTCACATTTCTAGCTATGCTTTTTTTAATTTAGCTGGAGGGGTGTGTCTAATCTTAATAGAGTTGTAGCCGCCATTCTGGAGAATACCTTCGAACATTGACTTAATCTGCTGGCACAAAAAGGAAATAAAGGGAGTCTGGCCGTGACCTCCGTGACATATCGAAGGCGCCGGTCTGGCGGACTATTCCTACGAGATGTTTGTTGAATCTCTCATAAAATTCGTGTATTCAACGCAATTTAAACATAAAAATAAGGTTTAATTAAAATGAGCAACGAAAATATTTTTTAAATAGTTTTTAAAAAAAAAAAGTTTATATTAAGCGTACTTGTATCAATTAGTTAGGATCAGTCAGGTAATTAAATAATTAAATTTGTAACAGATCTAGACAAACAATAAAAAGACGCTATTATTTTTTTATGTATTTGTTAGTCTATAATATATAATGTATACTCGTGGAGGTTTAGGCCAGTAGGATATATGATGCCCACTTCGGCTCCCCCCTCCTTTAAAAAAAAACGAAATAAAACAATAGCTTTTTTTATCGACCAGTGCGTTTTAAGAACCGCTTAAGGCTAATTTCAATTATTCTGTTGAGGACGTCCTAGCGGTATGCTGAAGTCGATAAAAAGGTGTGTAAACGGTCCCGTGTAACGAATAATTTACTGAAAAGATTTTTGTTTCAGCCCGAATTCCAGCCAAACTCAGAGAATGGTTCGAGCAGATAATGAATTAAGATGATGTCAATGAAAGACTACATAATTTATACCCGGTCCTTATCCAACAAAAAAAAAAAAAAAAGACAACTTAAAATGTGTGAGTAAAAAGATTAAAAGTATTAGATTTTTTAAATAAAATTATGCTTAATGTGCAAAAATTCAAAAGCAATACGTTTATCACTTTTGTGTGTGTGTGTGTTTTGATGAAAAGTGGACACGCTAAAAGTTAGAAAAACACGAGAAGACTGAAGAAATGTTATTAGACTTTAAGATTTGGAAAACTTTGGCACTCGGACTTAGGCTACAAAAAAACAACAAAAAAACAATTGACAAGGAAGTCGTTGCTATGACCAACGTAAAGAAGGAAAATAAAGGAACATCTTGCAGTGACTGATTGATATCACAATGTTTCTTGCAAGGCAGTGATGCGCACTAAAATGTTACTTTCAGCCTCTTGTATATAAAATTTACAGAGTTTATAAATGTATAAGTTTATTAAATGCTTTAAGAGACAAATGCTACAAAGTACTTTGGTATCTTTTATCATACCACACCAAACTTAGATCACTGAAGTTAATACATTAGCAATGGTATCGTTCAAATGACAAAAAAGTTTACGGATTTTTCTTTTCAAAGCTAATTTTACCAGTTCTGATATATTAAAATGCCTTGAAAGGGATGACCCTGGCTTATTGATATATGGAGCTCATGGCTATGATAATGCAGCTACAATATCTGGAATTCATGAAGGAGT